TGGAAACAGTAGAACATCCTATTATATAGACCAGCTATGAAGAGTTACTCTAAATAGGTGTCATTCAAATATACACTTATTAAGTGCCTATTTGTCCCTGTGCTACAGGATTATAATTACAAATAACCCCTTTTCATGCTTAATAATCAATATTTTATCTCCCTGAGGTAAGAGCTCTCAAAAGTATACTCCCTACAACACTAAAATGCCTTGAGTTTGACTGTGTGCCTTGGATTGCATGGCACTTATACTTGATATTATATGCACATGGGTGAGTTTCCCTAGCCTCTCAGGGTATGCCATGACTCCTCATAGCAAAGAATAACACTGTTATATGAGCAAAAAAAATTGAGAATCACTGCTTCAACAAAACATATCAGTCGACAAAATTAAACTTTAGCCGTTAACAAAGTCAAAGCTGGTATCAAATCCCAGACTTTCAGATTGAGTTCAGTGCAAAGTCAAGACCCTGAAGGGCAAGACAGTAAAGAAGCATGGTTTAGGAAGGGATAGCTTTGCCACAGATGCTTGACCTTTGGGACACATGCCCACAGCACCTAACTTAGGCTCTACATATATACATCCACAAACATATAGATTTGTTGTTCAGTTGTGTCTGACTCTTTGTGACCCCATTATGAGGTTTTCTTGGCAAAGATACCAGAACGGTTTGCCATTTCCTTCTCCAGTGGACTAAGGCAAATAGAGATTAAGTGACTTGCCCAAGGTCACACAACTAGTAAATGTCTGAAGCCAGATTTGAACTCTGGTCTTCCTGATTCCAGGCCCAATGTTCTAACTACTGAGCCATCTAGCTGCCTCTGAAACATTTACATACACACACATACATACATGTATATATGCAACTAAACATGTATATGCATGTAAGTGTGTATACATACATATGTTGAATTGAGTGGAAAATTAATTCTAAAAATCAGATTGAGTGTTCATATGGGAGGATTTCCCTCCATAGTTCCCCATCTTTTAAGTAAAGGAGAAATTGAGAAGAATTCTATATAATGGATTTATGGAATCCACAGAGCAGAGAGCCTCAGCATAATGACTCTCGAAACATGACCGGAAATGACTGTCTCTACAAGTTCGGAGCTTGAAACTTAGAGGGCCTCATGAAAAATGCAGGAAGAGCTAATGGCATATTATATGTGTCACTCACAGAAATAAAAGAACTTTTTGTAGGGCCTGTCATATGGGAAAATTAGCCGAGAATGATTAGTGTAAAAAGAAAGAATGTACAAAGATTTGGCTAGGACAGGAAGGTCTAGAATAACATCTTTCTCTAGTTTGATGCTGGAAATATGCCAGCAGTAAAATTCACTGAGCCTTAAGGTCATTTAATTTTTTTTTAAATACATAATCACTCACCTTTCTTAATCATGAAATAGGATACAGAAGGGGACAGCAAATTTAAGGGTCATCTTAATTCTAAATACTTAATCCCAAAGCTTCCCCTAACACAGTTTCTTATCACAGTGAGCATTTTCCTAAAAGATCACAGAATGGGAGCTTTATGAGGTCACAGGGCAACTCTTTTCCTCTTACCACAACTCAGCAAGACAAAGAATAAAAACTTTTCCAGCTACATGTGCTTTCATTTGAATCCTCTGGTCCTTGTCTGTCCTTTCCCCCTAGGACTACAGACTCCAATATATATATATTTATACATGTTTTCACAAATACTTTTTATCATTCAAGTGGCAATTTTAAAAAATTGTAGGCAACATAGTATCTAGTGTACTGTTTACCCAATTTCCCCTTCTTGATGATGGATTGTTTTTAAAAATAAAGTCTCACTTCAAGAAATGATGAACTGACAAATTACTTGCACTTTTTATGTGATCTAGTGGGAAAACCAAAGGCTTCTACTTCTCTCTGTCTCCATCTCTCTCTGGCTATTTGTGTGTGCTGAAGTCTTCCATGAATGTGGGGTAGGGGTAAAAAAACTTTCAGACTTTCATAGCAAAGGCATGTTCCATTGGGACAGTAGGGAGAGAATGCAGCTAAGAGAAATGTGACAGAAAAGAGGAGAGGATGTATTGTTTTCTAAGCTAAAAATTTTTAAATCTAGACTGTTGCTTTCCAAAATATTTTTTGGGGAAAATCTGATGTTGGATTTTGGACTCTCAGGTTTTATTACATATGTTTACATATATTGTACAAATTCCCTATCTCTCCATATGCTCTTGCTCATATCGAATCCTTGCTCAGAAGTCTCCCCTCCCTGCCCTTCCAAATGCCACTCATTTTCCACACCTATTCAAATCCCACCCCTTCTGTAAAGGCTTCCTGAACTACTTCAGCCCATTGCAATCTCTCCCTCTTTTTAACTCCTAAAGCACTTACTATCTGTACCATTTATTTGGCACTCAACCATGGACTACTTTGTGATATCTCTTTTCCTTTTTTGAATTAGATGGCAAGCTCCTTGAAGGCAGGGATCCTGTTTTATAAATTTCAATATCATCTACCATCAAGTATAATTCTTCGTTCATAGTAGGAACTTGATAAATATGTTTGAGTTGCTTAAGCAGGCACTTCAGTACTTTTGTGTCTGATATAAGAGTTTTATTCCTCTCCACTTTGGTTAAAGTTTCCTAATGGTGATATCTTGGTATGGGCACTTATAATTAAAAGAAAAAAAATAAATTAACAATTAAAGTGTCAGTGCCATTTTTAACGGTGTCATCTGTGGATTTCAAGGGCAGGTGACATGTGAACAGGAGCTCAAACAATTGCTCATTCAACTAAAAACTGCCTTGTTTCCAAGAAAGAGGGTATTACCCTGCCAGCAAGGCTGCTGGGCTCCATCTGCTGCTACCTTTATAGTAAGAGAGAGATTGAGGATCTCCAAGGAACAGAATAGCTTGACAGGATGCAAGAAAGATCGGGATAACAAAGAAAATGCCTGGAACAGAGAAGGCACTGACATGTTGTTGAGCCTGTAAGGGCTGTACCCTTAACTCATTAAGGCAGATTCCTTAGCTTCAGTACATGAACGTTTTTTATTTTTTTTCCCCTTAGTTGTTCAGCCAATTCTCTCCCAAATGAGGAAAGAATGCTCTCCCTCCCAGGAGGGAATTTGCTCATTCCACATTTTAAATCTACTTAGATTATTCTCCTCAATCCTCAGTTAGGCACTTAGGGTGGTACATTACTACCAAGGAATGATTTAAGTACTGAGAGAGAATTTGGCTGGAAAAGAAGAACTCTCCTATTCCTTTTATAAAGAGCAAAATTTGAATTAGTCGTACAAGGTTGCTTAATAGATTAGATGATGTTTGCTTCCAGATGAAAATACAAGGTGTTACTAATAGTCAAATTGCATGCACCTCACAGAATTTTAATGTAAGAGGAATGGATAGTTACTTACACTACTTTGGTCCAGCCTATGACCTTTTGGGAAATTGTCAAACTGGGGGCCTCAGAGCATTGCCTCGTAACAATGCACAGCTTAGGAGACTGGCTCCATGTTCTCCCAGGACTAGAGGAGAAGCATCAGGATCTTTCCCCATGTGGCTATTCATGGGCTAAATGGCCCTCAGATAGTAGAACAGTGTTTCAGTGAGCAGACTTGAGAGCAATGGCAGTTTAGGATGGCATTGTGAGGGTGTGAAGAGAATTGGTTTATCTGGTTAAGCTACAAATCAGTGTACATTTCTGAGTATAGGAGAAGAGTAGAGACTCAAAATGCATGTCTTAAGTTAACACAACTAAGCATAGAACTTTAGTACTATTAAGTTTCACTTTCAGAGATTCACCAATTATTCTAGCCTATTGAAATAAATATGGATCCTGACTCTGTCATCTAACATACTCCTCTCAAATTCTTCTCATCTATATATTTGACAATAATAGGTAATGTGTTATCATGCTTTAAATTTTGCAAAGTTTTCATGTAGCACCTTATTTGTTCTTCCCAACACCTCTGTGAGGCAGGTATGATTATTATCCCCATTTCATAATGGAAGAAATTGAGCCTTCCAGAAGTGAAATGACTCTAGTAAGTGTCTGAGGCAGCGTCTGAATTGTCTTTGACTCCGAGGTCAGTGCTTTATCCACTAGGGCCACCTGGCTGCCTCTATAAGCATGTTTGCTATGAGTTTATTCAATTCACTGATGGAAATTTTGGCTAGAATAAAGCCAAGGACACATCCCCAGGACACACCACTAAAAGCCTCCCTCCAGTTTGACACTAATCCAAAAATCGTCTCTCTTTCAGTTATGCCAGTCTATCAGTTCCAAGTCCACACAACTGCACTATTGTCCAAACCCATATCTCTCCATCTTGTCTTCAAATAGAGCAAGAAATACATCAGAGGCCTTGCTGAAATCTAGGAATGCTATTTCTATGGCATCTCCTCACCTATCAGTTTAATAACCATAGAAATGGAAATGAGGTGAGTCTGGTATTACTTGTTGGTGGTACGGTGGAGCAAGGGCTGGACCTGGAGGTAGAAAAAGTCCTGAGTTTAAATCTGACTTTAGACATTTACTAGTTGTGTGACCTTCGATAAGTCACTTAACTTCTGTTTGCCTCAGTTTCCTCAACTGTTAAATGGGAATAATAATGTCATCTACCTGCCAGAGTTGCTGTGATGATAAAATGAGACAATATTAGTAAAGCACTTAGCACAGCGCACATGGTAGGTGGCTGCTATATAAATGCTAGGTATTATTATTATTATTAAACAAATATTATTAATAAACAGGTATGATTACTAAACACATAATAATTATTACTAATAAATAAGTATTATAGTTATTGTTGCTTCCTTTTTCAAGTGACCACAAGCTCTCTCATTAATAATACATTTAAAATTTTTGACAAATGATCATCAACTTCACCGGCCTCTAATTGAGAAGGCTCTACCTCTTCTTTTTGAAAATCAATATATTCCCAGATTGTTAAAATATTAATAGATAAATTCCCAGGTGGGGGGAGATAGAGTGGTTGGGGTGTAATATACATTTTCTCTTACCCTCTTGGGCTCGGTTCTGTTGTTTCGGAGTCAAGAAACTCTGTCTCCTCCTCCATATCCTTTTCTGGGGCCACACTACCTTCAGAAATCTGCGGTGAAAGCATTTCCCATTCATTGTCATGGGCAACCACCTTTAGCAAAAGAGCATCTCCATCCGCCTCACTTACGTTCTTATTCTTATTCTTCCTTGCCAGGCTGCCCTGGCAAGAGGACTTATCCATTCTTGAAGATTCATGAGGACTACTGTTTCTTGTCTCTGCACAGACTTGAGTCTGTTCAGCTTCTCTCAGAATCTGATCTGCAGCCATGACAGAATGTCCAGACCTCAAGGCCACTGTTTCTGTTTGTCTGGAACTCTCTTCAGCTGATGCATTGTAAACCTCACTTTGGCCTAAGACCATCCAATTTGGGTCTTGCCCAGGGCTTTCTAGAGGTCTCCTTTCACCTTCCAGTCTTGGAAGCACAATGTAAGAACCATTCTCTATTAAAGGTCCCACTGCAGACTGGCCTTTCCTTTCATTTGTTGCAACTGACTGTAATATATCCTGGGAGGATGCTGAAAACTCTCCTGGAAGCTCCATTTGTTCTGATCCAACATTGACTTCTTGTAATTGGGATTTACTTTCTCTTGGCTCAAGGGTAACCTTCCTTTCAGAGAAATTTTCTTCACGGTCAACAAGAATATAATCCATTTGTAGTGCACTTGAATCCTCATTCATCTCCATACATGCGTCTTCCTTATTTCCTGTTCTTAGCTCAGGATCCTTGCTAGAAACAAATTCTACTTCAAAGTCTAATGGGTTTTGGATAACACCTATATATGAATAAGGAAGAGGGAGGTACAGGAAAGGAGCAAAGACATTGTGGTTAGATGCATTTTGTAACTTTCCTATTTCAAAAGATCCCTTTAAAATGAAAAATATTTTCTAAAAGTCACTTTTTAAATTTCATAGTGACTGGCTAATTTTGTTACTTTCTTTTTCTATGTGTGCTATTGGGGACAATCATTACAAGCTATTTTAATTACACAGACTGCTTTATTTTACAAGACTGCATAAAGTTTACTTTTAGGACTTCATTTGACATGCATTTCAAACTTAGTACCTCATGACACTCTCTGATCCCATCAAACTGACCCTCTGTTTTCCACACATGACACTCATTTCTCATCTCTAAGCCTTTGCAAACTTATGGGGGGAAGGGAAAATGAATCCCACACATGCAGTCTCAAATCATTCCAGGAAAGCCATGTTTTGTTAGTTAAGGCAACATGTCTTACCATTAGGTGGTCTCATGTCTCCACCTGCTGGTGAATCAGAATTACGTGATTCTACTTCATTGGAAGAAAGAGCTGACCCAAGATTGGAACCAGATTCTAATGGCAGGGATGTTGGTTCAGGATCTTCCCGTATATATAATTCAAGCAACTGGTGCCTGGCCTTACCGTCTCTTTTCTCTGAATGGCTTGTGGTATCTTTTCTACACAGTGGCGCAGGGAACAGTAATTCTTCCATTTCACTGTCAGAAGACTGTTCCTCAGCTGAGAGCACTTCCTTCTCTTGCATGGAGCTTTGGGGTGCCTCTGTGAGAAATGATAAATCAAAGGGAGGCGTATATGGCACAAGTGGATGTTTGGTGGAAGTCTCCTCCAGGAGAGCCTCGCCACCATAATGGAAGTGTTCAGGCTCTTTTATTGCTTCTTTATCAAAATTTGTAACCATTGAGCTCTCTTCAAAATCACCCCAAGAGGTTGCTGAGAGACAGATAGTTTGTCTTCCTGTAGAGTTTTCAGGGTTGTTCTCTTCTAATGGTGATTTTTCCGTGTCCTTCATTGTTCCATCTGAAGTGTTCATTGCACCATTCAAACTGTGTCCTTTAATAGCCTCATTTCTATCATAAAAAGGGCTTGTGGCTGTTAGGATCCCAATGTTGGCGTCTGGCTCCTCACCACTTAAAGGATGTTCACTGCTAATCAAGGCATTTGTATCTTTTTTACTTTCAGAAAAGATATCACCTGTTATACAAGAGCTATTCACCTTAATAATAGCTGGTGCCTGGGAAGTTATGATAGCATAAGCTCCCATGTTTTCAACAGCCAAATCTTCCATTTCCACTGGTTCTAAACCTGATGCTATTTCTAGGGTGGTTTCACTTTTGAATTCTTCTAAGTTCTCTTCATTGTCACCAACCAGTTCAGAAGGTTCAGAGGAAGTTCTGGGAGAGACTAGCCTGTCAACATTTGCTTGTTCATTGTCTGAATGCAAGGAAAATTGTTTTTCAGGATGCATTTCCACATTGTGAATGGCAAACGTCTGTCTAGGAATCAGAGCAGTTTCTTGATTCCCCTCTGATTTGGTGAGATAAAACTCACTAGCTTCACCTCTAGGGCTGGCTGAAGCTTGGGCAAGATGCTGCCCAGGCTCTTCCTTCATTTCATATTCATGACACACATCAGGACTGGTAGAAGACTGGGAGTTACTCTCCTGGTCACAGTGATTCAATATGTCTGGATTTTCACCGTCTGCTTTCAGGCTGAGGGGCTGCTCAGTGTCAGTCCACAGGTCAGGCATGGCTGAGATAATCTGCCTACCTTCTTGGAAATTTTCATGCAAAATATCTGGGAAAAATGTATCTTGAGGAACCCCACCAGGTGGGGAACTACTCCATCCAGGACTAGATTTCATTGTCATTTGAGAGGAAGGACTGATGGCAATGGAGTCATTTGCATTAGTAAGTTCTGAATCTGGCTGATCCAGAGCAGGTAGTACTCTGTCTTGACATTGTTCTGAGTATGGCTTTCAGGCACAAGCTCATTAGTAGCAGTTGGTATGAATGGTTGTTCTTTCAAATCCTTTTCTTCTTGGCTTGGGACACACTCATCAAACTGCTCTATCTGTACAGAATCTGAGACCATCTGAGTTGGTTGGATATTCCAAGATGGTTCATAGCTTTCTTCATTGTCACCTTGAAAGGGTGGCTGGTTTTCATCTGTGAAAGGATCAACATGAAGTGCTTCTTTGGATTCAAGATCACCCTGAATAGGTGCATTCCATGGATCCACCTTTTGGCATACAGAAGAGGTCTCTTCTAAAACACTATCTGAGTCAGAAGGTTTCATCTCTTCAGGGCTCTTTTTCTGGGGCAAGGTGTTCCACCATTCTGCTCTCTCAGCTGAAAATCCAAGAGTTTCCACTGTGGATTTAGGCTTTACTTCTGACTCATTTTTAGGAGACATTTGCAACGATGCCTCTTTAGTTGCATGTTCAGTCTTCAGCATCTCTGGAGAACATTTTGCCTCCTCACTAAATCCAATGGCCTGTTCCTCATTTTTATTTACAGGTGAGAAATTCCAATGATCAGGACTGCTTTGATCTTCATAAGGTGGACTTCCTTGACTCTCACCTTTGGTTGTTTCCCAGGAATCTCTATATTCAGAAAATTCCTGATTTTCATGGCCAGCTATAGTCAAACATTCATTTTTTTCATTAAATATATTCCATATCCTAGAATCCTTCTGCAAATCTGCTTGGGAAGTGATCAAATGAACTTCTTTTTCCAATTTATCCTCACCATTAGAGTTGCTATTAATCCCTGAGCTTGTTGTAATGGACTTAGTATCATTATTGAGTGCAGTTTCAGGAATTTCATGCTCATTTTTTTGGTAATAGCTAACTGCTGAACTTCCTTCCTGAGATCCTGAATTTTGAGGAGTGTTGCCTCCATCAGGACTTGAAAAAGAAGAGAGGGAGTCATCATCCTCTGCTTGGGCATTCCAGATATCTAAAGTTTTAGGAACTTTATGATTGACAACTTTTTGGAATTCATCCATCATTTTCCCCTGTAAGTCTCCTACTTCAGGTACCATTTCTGGTTGATCATCAGTGGTAACAAGTTCAGAGTCTTTATTATTCCCTGTGCTCCAGTCATCTTGATTCTTTTGCTGAGAGTCTGTGGTCTTCACATCACCCAAGCTGGGTATAGAAGCAGATGGATCACTTAGATCAGGGCTTGATGCACTCGAGTGTGTGTACTCACTGGATACAACATCATCTTCACCATTTCCCATTTGAAAACGGCCTGTAGCAAGATGGTTTTCAATACTTTTCATTTCACGGTCTTCATTTATTTCAAGACTTGTTCCATTGGATTGAGTGTCACCACCTACATATGCATTCCAAATGTCAAGACTCTGGGGACTTTTAAGAAGAGGTGCCTTATCTACTTTCTCTATGGATACACTCTCTAATCCCAAAATTTTATATGTCTCATTTTTCTCAAGACTCATTTCAGATAATGAATGATCTGTTGCAGCTTGATTCTGAATAGATAAAATGTTAGCAGTGTCAACTGAATTTCCCTGATCCACTAAATGCTTCTCACAGGCATTATTTATCTTTAGATTATTTGTAGAAGCTTTTGCTTGTGCATCATTGGTCCCTTGGTTAGTAGTATTGCCCTGGAGTTCTACTAGATCCTCTGAGATTTCATTGGTATGGGAACTAGATGCAGCTGAAGGAGAGATAGTTTTAACAGAGTCATCATGAGTCCCTTGATTTTCAAATGCAACAGGAGAATAGAGTTCTGAGTCACCTTCTTCTCTTTCTGAACTTCCTGAAGCACTATATACTTCAGAACTTCTTGTATCCTCTTCAACTAAATATTCTTTATCAATATTTTCTTGTATGTTATTCTCATCTTCACTGTGTTTATAACTCTGGTCCTTCCATATGTCCAGATGGTCAGGATGTTCTTTTTTCTCAGGACTTGTTGCAAAGAATCCTTCATTGCTCACTGAAGTACTTTCCTGTGTTTCCTGGTTAACAGAATCAGCCAGAGGGGTGACAGGTGTAAATGCTTCTTCCTGCTCATTTTCTAAGATTTCTAGCTTATCTGGGATGTTGATGTCCTTAACATTTTCTGAGGAACTCAAAGTTCCCCATGGTGATTTGTTTTCATCTGAATCTACAATGTGTGATGGGTCAGGCAGTACTAAGGATGACACATTGTCATCTTTCATGACTGTATCCCAAATATTGCTAAAGATTTGCTGTCCACTTTTCCCAGTTAATGAATTTAATTCATTGAAGGTGGCATCTTTTCCTTCCTCAGAGGCACTGTAAGGCATATGGTGCTCCCATCCTACTTGAATGTCTTCCTGACTCTCAACACTCCATGGTTCTAGCTGCCTCACTGAAAATCGAGTTTCTGGTTCTATGACTTCATGCATGTATCCTTGGATTTGCCCTTCTCTGGAAGTCTCCATTCCCCCATTACAGTCATCCCAGTCTAAATCATTATCTAGATCTGAAATAGTTGCTGTCGATTGTGTGTCCTCAAGGATAACTCTATTCCACGAGTCAGTATTCTCAGGAGCTGCTTGCCTGTGGTCTGTGCCACTATGCATAAGGGTCAGTTGTCGGTTTGTTTCATTATACATCTGCATCATTCTAGGATCATCATAACTAGATTGGCTGCTTTCCCCAGCATCATCCTCAGCCGAGAGATTTTTAATATCTGGGCATTCTAACTTGAGCAAATCTTTATGTGGATTTGAAGGGACATTTGTTTCTGAATCAACTGTCACAATCTGGCTCTCATTTGGTGTTTGTGTTGTCCACATCTCTAGGGTCCCGGGGCCTGAACCAATTCTGTTTCTGTAGGATGGAGGCTCCATTGGCTGAGAAAGATTCTCAGCATCATCTGACTTATTCAGTGAGGTCTTCTGTGCAGCTATGTTAACATCATGATCAAAAGTTTTGTCCTCGGTTTCTTTCTCCTCCCCTACAAACGTAGGTGATATATATGAGTCTGATGTAGAATAGTTAGTATCTAATTCAGAAGCAACTAAATCTTCACCGACATTGGATGTGCTAAAGTCTGAGCACCTATATGATAAGAAAGAATCTTCCCAGGGAGCTGGAGCTCCTTCCTTATCATTCTCTTCATACAAGTTCCAGGTATTTACCTTTTCAAATGATTTCTCCCTGATCTCAGAACCATTAAACCCATCCTGATTTTCCCTAAGCAGCTTGGAATTATTCCATATAATGTCAGGATCAAGACTAGGATTCCCAGACTCAATGTGCATGTTGTTGGTGTCACCTTTGCTCTCATTCCAGGCTTCTGAAGTCACTTGATTATTTGGAGTTTGGGGCAAATTCTCTGATGGGAAATCTGCAGAAAAAGAAAAGTCTTTCTTTGCCACAGCCCACTCATCATGGTCCCTTTTGGGAGGCAGATTTCTGTCCATCTGATGCACATTCCAGGCCTTTTTCAGAGCACTGGTGCTGTCTTCTTTACTAAATTTAGTCCAGGTAGGGAAAGGCTCGGAATCCACATGTCCACCACTATCATTTGCAGGATTCTCCCATGGATCTCTTTCCATTGCAGAAGGTGAGCTGGGCTGCCACACAGCAGCAAAGTCTTCTATCAAGTGGCATGTTCCCTGGGGGGAAGCATGTGATAGATCTGATTTCTCAGAAGGCAGTTTCTGGTGTTCTGGATCGTCCTCACTTTGGTGGCGGGTATCCGTGCTACCCACAGTCTCTTGCTCAAGTTGGCTCTCCCAGGGATCCAGCTTTGGGTATTCACCATGTCTTGACTGCTTTTGCTGATACGCAGAATCAGAGGCCCTCCTATCAATGGGGCTTGCTTTGTGCTCTTTCCAGGACTCAGGACTCTGGAAGACAGATTCCTGTTCACTGGAACTCCATGTGTCAGTGTTCAGAAGGGCAGCATTTTTGGAGTCAATTTCTAAACCACCCCACCAGCTGCTGCACCTCGTACGCATTTGAGTAGGCCCTGTGCCATCTAAGTCATTTATTTTTTGAAGCATGTCTTCTGGGAAGAGCAAGGCTGGGTCCTCTGTGAGTGGTGAGCTTTCCACAAAGCTGTTCATTGGAGTTGGTGGGACTCTCGTCCCAATGCTTTTCAGCCTTTCAGAGGGAGGAGAGTCATCTCCCACAAAATCAGTGAGGCTCAAAGTTCTTTCTGAGAGGTCCCCAGGGCTTTCTTGCTTCTGGGCAAATTCCCCATCAAATTCCAGAAGGCTATCTTTTTCATCCACTGTCATCAGTAAATCTGCTGAGTAATTAGCCACGTCATTCCCTAATAGATTCATCTCCTCAAGCCCCTTTGGCACTGTGGGTGGCTGTCCTTCTGATGAATCACTGTTGGGAAAGAAGTCATCTGCTGGGGAATAGTCAGCTGAACGGGAAGATGACTGAGATTGCACGGAAACATTGGGTGCTGGGTCAAAATTGAAAAGATCAAAATGTTCACCATCTTCTCCAGACTGTGGTTTATGCTCCTCAGCTATTGCTCCTTCAGGGATGGGACTATAAGACTCAAACCCTGGGAGGAGGCTATGATGAGACCCAGCACCTTCACCAACTGGGCTGTCATCACTTAGGAAAACTGAGCTCTCCTTGGAAGAACGGCTACTCCGAATGGTTGCCAACCCACTATCAGGGCTCACAAGGTCTACATTGACATCCACCTGAGCTGGGATGGAGCCATTAAGGTCTTGAGGGTTTTCTATGAAATTCACACAGCTGGGCTGTGGTTCTACATCAGAGCCATACAACTCCATGATGCCAGAAGATCCCTGAGAAAGTGGTGCACTCCCAGCCACAGCTTCAGTGGAGGATGTCCGGCTGTTGGAGACCATTTCTGAACACCTCCTGTTAATGACTTCCTTGACAAGGAGAACCATCTGATCAGAAGTTATCATAGGGTCCTCCTGCTGATACACCAGGATCTCATCACAGCCACATTCAAAGGGCTCCAGCTCCAAGCAAGGATTCTGACACTCTTCCAGTTCACAGCAGATCTGTCAGGAAAGCACATTTCAAATGAACATGGCTATTCACCCCTGTCATCTTTGCAGCAAACTCGTATCAAACCCATTTAACTACACAGGCTTGAAACGATAAGTGAAACAAGGTAACTTAAAAATCAAGGCTTTCACTTCGGTGAAACACAGCCCATCTGCCTCCAAATGGTTGCACACAAAAATTAGGTTTGCACAAACCAAAACCAAAACCAGAGAGGCACAAGGATCTCCCCAGGAAAAGATTGTAACTGTACCACTGTACCACACTGGAGGATTTGGAGAGGCACTGTCCCATTTGGAAATACCTCGGTTTTTGATGCCATATTTTCCTCCTACATGCTACACGCCCCTTCTTCTAAGCTCAAGCTGTATACAGTGAATGAATGAAACAGCATTTATAAGTACTTACTATTTGCCTACCACTGTGCTAAATGTCGGGGACACAAAACAAGAACAAAGACAGTCCCTGCCCTTAAGGGCAACTCTTTCTAAATAGGGAAATAATACCTATAGGGAAGTGGTGGCCATAGAAGGGTATTTTGATATGGAAAGCTACAGGGAACATTATATGATGGTAAGGGAGACACTGAGAATTTGGTAGCATCCACTGACATTCTAATATACACAGAGCAGTGACAGAGCAATTGTATCCCTGTGACCTCTGGGAATGGGAGGAAGGAACGAGGACTACTGCAGTGCCTTCCAGCACTCCCATGTATATGTCATGGTCCTTTTTCAGAAAGGAAGACAAACAATAACAATTAGGATAAGAAGTACAAGATAGTAATTTAAAATCATCAGTGGAGGGGAAGCTAGCTGGTGAAGTGGATAGAGCACTGGCCCTGGAGTCAGGACGTCCTGAGTTAAAATCTGGCCTCAGACACATAAGGCTCACTCTAGCTGTGTGACCCTGGCCAAGTCACTTAACCCCAATTGCCTCACCAAAAAAAATCATCAGTGGGTATCTTTAGGTTGACTAACAGCTTAGCCAGTAAGTGACATTAGGGCAAAGAAGAGGACCTAGCTTCTTCTTCCTATGGTAACTTGGGAGAGTGTTTGAAAATCCTAAGACATTTCCAATTGGCCCTTGTTTGAAGGAGGGGGCACTGGGCTCTCCTAGGAAATTAGTATTTACAGTCTATGATGATACCTTTAAGGACTTGTTTTAACCCAATGCCTGACATCTTCTGAAGCCTAGTATAGGACTATCTTTTGCTACTTCTAGTTAAATTCTTAAAAGCTGACCTTCTACATAGACCATTTATCCCAATATTCTATGGATCACTAATTTATAGCCAGAAATAACTTAGAGATTATCTAGTCACATCTTCTTGTTTTACCGATGAGGAAACTGGAGCTCAGAGAGGCAATGTGATTTTCCCAAGGTCACACAGGTAATAAGTAGGAGAGGCAGGATTTGAACACAGAACCTTGGGCTCCTAATCCAGTACCCTCTCCTCTACACTACATTCTTAGAGCAATAAAACTACTGTGTCAGGGTACTCACCTGATTGCACAACTCCACGTTTTCTGAATATACAGCTATTTGACGTTTTGTCTGTTGGTCATCTGATAAGTAAGTGGCCAAAAGGATGAGTACATCAAAGCCATACTTTTCGGTAAAAATCTTCAGATCAGTGGCAATGTTTCTATGAAACATACAGTCCTGTAATAGAAAGAAAATGTAGACATTATCACATAATTCCCAATCTGAAGCTGGGGAGAGTGTGACACACCCCTCTACCCACCACTCACCACCCCCAGTACAATGGTCCTAAAAAGTACTGTGTGGTCAACATTAAATATTCATTGTGAGCGGATCTATTTTCTTTTGATAATTTTTTGAAATTTTTTGAGTTATGCCATTTCTTAAGTTAATGAGAAATGATAAAGTCAGTGTTGGGAATCATCACTTTTACAGTAAAAGAAACAATTCTTTCCAACATAATTAAGAGCAGCTGTCATTGATGTCTGCAGGTAAAGCATGTGGTGAAGTCACAAGGACATTTAAAGGGGAGGTAAGCCTGGTGGGACATAAGATGGGGCCACTCAGGAAAAGCCACACTTCTTATGCAAGATGCCCAGATGTTTGCTAAAAACGGAATGTGTGGAGTTTAAGGGAATTCCAAAAACACATATAGGATACATAGTGGAAATGGCTGTCAAAATACTGAGGGAGAGAGTAAATTTGCAGTCAGTGACTGAGAAAAAGGAAATTATTCTGGTCATCGAGTTGTGGTGGGCAATTCATTCTGTTTATGCCTTCCCTCCTCCTGATAACAAGGGATTCAGTAAAGTCCTAGTGCTAGTGATGCTATCTGACTGCTTAGCTCTGATTCAATGGGGGCAGAGGTTAGTGTTAAATTAAACATTGTGTATACCACAGTTAAAAAAACTGTAGGATTATGGGAACCATTAGAAAAACCTGCTAAAACTAATTTGAACTAGTTTGAACTCCCTAGAAAAAATAGGAAATGCTTAATTATCCTTTAGAGTAATCTACTGGTCAGTTTAAAAAACTAATGTCTTCCATTTCTGGGTCAGAGTTACTTTCCTGAAAGGGCAGAATACTAACCTGTTATTGACAATTCCATTTATTAAGCACCATGATAGTGTAATTGACTATGCTAGCATCCTTTTGTGTAATGGAGATGGTCCATTTGAGTTTGGGTCAAGGGCTCCCTTAAAAGGGGATCTCCTAGACTTTGAACAGTAGGAGAGTCCTCAGGAATTGGTCAGATAAAGAGGGGAAGTTGCCACTGATGAAACCTGACTCAAGGCTAAATCAACTGAAGTTCTTCTAAGACAATAGTTCTAAGTTGTCCTCTATTATTATTTCTTAAATCTAATGACAGCAAAAAGTAATTATCATTACCAACAATTCAGGTAAGTAATATTTTAAAAAATTAACCTATCCCAAATATTAAATAATAAATATTTTGTCTCTATTTACATCAACTTATCCCCAATCCTGATATACTATTCTGCCATTTAGAAATTAGTGAGGAGAAACAGACCCAAGATGACAGAGAAAAGGCAGAGACTAATCTGAGCTCTTCCAGAACCTTTCAAAGACCTTTAAATAATGCTCTAAAACAAATTCTGGAGTGGAAGAACACATAAGAGGACAGAGTGAAACAATTTTCCAGCCCAAGAAAACTTAGAAGGTGAGCAGGAAAGCTCTGTCTCACCAGAGTGAGAGTGGGGCACAGTCCAGTCAGGCCATACCAACACAGACTGGACCCCAGCAAACAGGAGCAGGCCTTGGGAGTGATCCAGTTGCTTCTGGAACACAGTGCACAGACCCAGCAGTGTGACTCTGAAGATGTAAGCAGTCTCTCTTTGATGCACAAATGTCATATTGCAACCAGCACTGTTCCCTTTCAAAAATACTGCCACAGATGTGCTGAAGGCCCTCATCACCTCACACCTGGACAATTGCAATACATTTCTCGCGAGTCTGACTTCTGTTAGTCTCACTTTCCTCCAGTTGATCTTTCATGTAGCCACCAAAGTGGTTTTCCTAAAGCTCAGTTCCAACCTTGGTACCTCCCTACTCCTTTAATTCCAGCATCTCCTTATCACCTCCAGGACTAAATGCAAAATCCTATGATTGGAGTTCAAAGACCTTTGAACCTCCTCCCACCATCCCCCACCCCTGCCTTACTGGTTTTCTTAGTCATTACATTTCCCCCTCCTCCATGTACTCTTTGATGGAATGACATAGGTGTCCTTGCTGTCCCACTCCATGTCTCTTCTTTAAGCATTTTCTCTGGCTGTACCTCCTGCTTACACAATAGTCTTTTACTTCACATCTTCCTCCCAGCCTTCTTGGCTTCCTTCAAGTCCCTGCTAAAATGCTGCCTTCTACAGAAAGCTGCTATTCAAGACCTCTTAACTCTAATGCCTTCCCTCTGTTGATTATTTCCTTTATTTATTTATTTATTACTTTACATATATATATATATATATACATATATATATATATAAACATAAATATAATATGTATTATATATATAATACATATTATATATGATACATATTTTATATATATATCCTATTACTTGTACATACTTCTTTGCATTTGTTTCTTCCTTTAAATTGTGAGCTCCTCAAGGGCAGGAACTGTCTCTTGCCTGTCTTTGTATCTCCAGCTCAAACTAAGCACAGTAACTAGCACATAGTGTGCATTTAATAAATCCTTATTGCCTGACCAAACAAAAAAATAAAGAAAAAAATAAAGAAAGAAATTAGGGACAACAATTGCCCTTCCTTTTTCTAAAGTTTGTTGTTGCCCAACCATTGGGTGGAAATGAATGGCTGCTCTACCTCCTTGTCTGAAGAAGAAACCTAGAAGAAATATCCAATATTGCTTTTCTCTTAACATTCAAAATCTGAAAATAGATTCAATTATTGAAAAAGATCGATAAAATGTTAGATAAAAAAATCAAGATTCCAAAAGATCTCAACAGGTTAAAAAGCTAAGAACTGCCCACATACAAGATGGTAGATACTCAGTGTACAGATTGCCTATACAGGAGTTTATAGAAAAAAGATAGGGGAGCAGGGATTGGGGTCAAAGGGGAAGGAGTGTGAGATGTAGCTGTCAAATAAGTTAATGTGACTTTAAGCTGCAGTAATAGAAGCATATTATACAGAGCCTAGTTCCGCAGTACTTTTTTTTTGGTCAGACCGCCAGGAGTATTATATAAAATTGTCAGAGGCAGAATTTGAATTAAGTTAGAATTCAAGCTGTTTGACTCACACTCTATTTCTCTTTCCCCAACACCCTATCCCATTCTATTTATTTGGAAACTTTAGTAAAGATAGGATTGTTTAAAACCCTTAACAAAAAAAAAATTCAAAATTTGAGCATTAATTCTTCTCACTAAGTTAGCCAAGGGTTTTATAAATAGAAAATGAATGGTGATGTGATAAGAGTTGGAAAATTTTAGAGTTGACAGGTACAATGGAGATCATGTTCCTTCACAAAATCACAGTAACTTAAGAGCTGGAAGGGACCACAGGTTCTGTGAAGGAGTTCATGTAATCCAAATTGTACCTGAACAACAATTCACTTCTACAACAGAGAAAAGGCCACTTGACTTAATAGTTAAAAGATTGTTGGTAACCTTGGAAAGAGCAGTTTTCATTTGGATGGTAAGGTCTGAAGCCAGATTTCATGGAGATAAAAAATGAGTGAGATGTGAGGATGGAAACTGGATGACTTTTAGTAGGAATTTGACCATGGAAAGAAGGAAAGACATAGGAGGATAGCTTGAGGAAATGACCATCAAGTGAAAATTGTATTTAAATACGGGGTGTTCCCAGAAGAATTGCAGAGTATAGGGAAGAGCAGTGGATAGAGAAATCTAAGTTTTGAGAAAGAACTAGAGTGATGTATCAATGGAATAGAATAGGGACACAATATACAGTAGGAAATGACCACAGTCAACCTAGTGTTTGATAATCCCAAAATCCAAGTTTTGGGGATAAGAACTCATTATCTGACCAAAATTTCTGGCAAAACTGGGAAGCAGTTTAGCAGAAACTAGGCATAGACTAACATCTCACACAGTATAACAAGATAAGGTCAAAATATGTACACAATTTAGACGTAAAAGGGGACATCATAAACAAATTAGGGGAGCATGGAAAATTTTACCAATCAGATCTATGGATAATGGAAGAGTTTAGACCAAATGAGAGACAGAGAGGATCACAGGAAGTATAAACGGATAATTTTGATTACATGAAATTAAAAGAGCTTTGCACAAACCAAACTAAAGTGGCCAAAATTAGAAGGAAAACAGAAAACTGGGGGGAATGTATGGCAAGTTTCTCTGATAAAGGCCTTATTTCTTATATAATAGGGAACTGAGTCAAATTTATAAAAAAAAAATAACAGCCATTCTCCAGCTGATAAATGATCAAAGGATATGAATAAGCAGGTTTCAGATTAAGTAATCAAAGACATTTATAGTCATATGAAAAATTTCTCTAAATCACTATTGATTAGAAAAGTGAAAATTAAAACAACTTTGAGGTACCATCTCAAACCCACAAAATTAGTTAACATGACAGAAAAAGAAAATGACAAATACTGGAGGGGATGTGGAAAAGCAGGAGCAGTAACGTACTCTTGGCAGAGTTGTAAACTGGTCCAATCATTCTGAAGAACAATTTGGAACTATGCCCAAAGGGCTATAAAACTGTGTACGCTCAGGAAGACAATTGCTAGGTTTATATCCTAAGGAGACCAAAAAAAAAGGAAAAGGACCTATATGTACAAAAATATTTATGGCAATTTTTTTTTGTGGTGGCAAAGAATTGGAAATTGAGGAGATGCCCATCAAGTGCGGAATGGGTGAACAAGTTGTGGTATATAATTGTGATGGGATACTATTGCGCAATAAGAAATGACAAGCAGGAAGGTTTCAGAAAAACTCAGGAAGACTTATATGAATTTTCTAATTTTCTTCTAATCTTGGCTACATTGAGTTTTATTTGTTTAAGGACTTTTAAATGTAATGTAATCAAAATTATCCATTTTATATCTCACAATTCTCTGTATCTCTTATTTATTCATAAAATCTCTTATTCATAATTCTGATAGGTAATATGTTCCATGGTTCTCTAATTTAGTTGGAATTATACATTCCTAAA